ATGCATGATAATTTCCAGAGTCGGACCGTGGACTTGATACATTCCTAGACGATTCGACTCTGGAAATTATCATGCATACTATGGACTCCGGACAGCATGCGTTCCTCTTGGTCTTCCTGCCAATATGGCCAAATTGAGCAAACATGGTCAAACAACTTTTATATACCGAAAGGAGACTACGACAATACAAAAGGCCACACTATCCTCATCTTCATACCTTCGAAGAAACTCTTTAATTGATTTTGAATGTTGCCCTGCAAATAACATGTATTCTTCGAGTAAAATATTTGCTTAGAATTTATTTGTTTATTTATTTTGAAGCATACCCTTTCAGCTTACATTTAATGTTTTTTCCGCATTGCTCGCGTAACAATCTTGGCTATCAGTGTCCATACACGTTTGTGATAGATAAAATGGGCCTATTTCATTCCTTCGGTTGAATTATTCGCGAAGTCTGCTGCAGTTTGCGATGAGTTAGGAACATTTTTGGAGAATTTATTCCTCTGGCCTTAATGATGTGAGCTTCTTTTGTATTTGGCACGTTATCGAACTTTCGCAAACACCATGTGTTCTCTTTATACACTTACAAATGCTTCGGGTGAAACCCATATAATACTGCTGGTTTAGCCCATCCCTTCTTTTAAATTACGCTATCCCTAAAATATATTTCTTGCAGCAGAACAGCTTTGAGCATCTTGTGGTAGTATTGCATAAACTCCTCATGCATATAAATTGGTGACACCAGCTGTGTCAAGGAAATTTAAGAATCTTTAAAAAGAAGGAGGATGTGTGTTTTATACAGTAAAGAATATTAAAGGAGTGACACGTTTCAGAACATATTCACTCTGAATATTAGCCTACGGTCCTTTGTTATCTAGGTGATTGCAAGATGACACTCGTTCTAGATGAGAAAAACCCGGTTTGAGTCGCTTTATCGTGTTTATTTGGGAAAAGTTGTCTCATTGGATTTAAATATGTCGATTTTTTATTCTAATCACAGCTTTAACGGACACTATCTCAAAACAGGGTTTAGAAGACAATCCTATGACTATTATAAGAAGAATTCTTTCGATGATCTAATCTTATCATCGTTATCTTTGCCATTCCTAATTTTATTTATATGTTTCCTTCCAACCGATGAATTCCTTTTATTTCTGGTATTCATAGCTATCCATCTAGAACTATCTGTTGCCTCTATCCCTCATACGTTGCGCTTGTTTCACACATTTGATCCTTTGCTTTTCCACACTTTGATGACCCGAGGCTTGCGACATTTTCACCCGTCAATCCATCATTTTAACTTTATTCCTTCACTAGCAACTTACTTTTTAAATACTTTTAAATTGCACAACTTTATTTATCTCGCGTACGTGTTGATTATTTAAAGGAGTTGTTTTGTCTTATTTTAAGGCCTTTTCCGGTTAATATTGATGAACATGTTTCTAAATTATTTTCGCCAATTTCAGCTAGTACTACACCTAGCCATTCTCCTTTCATCGTATTCAGGATGGAAGATTTTCATTACTTGAAAGATGTAATCGTTCAGTTAGCTTGATTCATTTGGGGAATTAACTGCTTTAGTCCGTTTTGTTGCATTCACAAACTAGACATGTTTAGCTTGATTAATGATTTTATGGTAAAATATGCCTTTAAAATCCTTCAGATTATATTTATCGGAGCAGTTTGGTTGTTTTTACATATCCCAGCATATTTCCATTACAAATTGTCTGACGTCTACTTACCGCCTTTCACTTCGTTAGCATGTTTTTTTTAATCAGACAAAATCAGGGCATATACACTATTTGCTTGGTCTTGTATTTTCTGTTGGTTGATCTGACAGCAATAAAGTTAACAGAATTATTGATCTTGCCGATTTTACGCTGCTTCCTAGTTAATTAATTTTTTATTTTATACTTGGCCTTTTGCCCCACATTATTTGATTACAATTCTTGATCCTCATGCTCCCGTTAACTCTTTGAAGCACAACGTACCAAGCTATCAATGTATCCAATGTTATTCATTTTATCTACCTATACCTCTCTAGCATCACCTTTGTCTTCTATATTATCTCCAACTGCCTTCTCTTCGTCTACCGGTCTCATATATTCTACTGACTATTCATATTATTCATATATCTTTTCAGGTCTTTTTACATGATCCCGTAGAAAAGGTGCCTCTTTCTTTGACCGGTGCTTCAATAGGATTTCACTCGGCCCATTTGTCACCTCAACTCAGTAACATGAATCCCGCAGTCTCTTCATCCTGCCCTGGCATCGTCTCAGGTACCCACCAAGCCCCAACCTCAGGCATTGACCTTTACCCCGGCCAGACCTTAGACGTCTCTATCCACCACGAAATGAAGGAGCTCGGGATTCATACACTTGCCTGTGAAGTCAGCTGCATACGTCATCCACCCGCACTCGTTACCTCTCAATCATGGCAACATCAGGAGCCAGGTCCGACACCTCAGCCACTTGTATCCACAGCAACAGACTCTTCAGACCATGGAAACGCTTCTCCTTGTCCCCAGCAGCAACATATCTTCATTCAGCCGGGTGAGTCTTTATGAGCGCAGTTGTCCCGTGAATTTCGGTGTATGAACCTCTGGTCAAAAAAGACCCACTTTAGCTCCAAACGAGTTTCTCCTTTGCTCATGCAAGCCTGACTTTGTGTTGCCTATTTGGCAGCCAAAAATGACAACACCTGGCCTGACTGACTGGAATCAAATGTCTTAAGGAGGCCGCTTAGGCATTACCCTATAACTTGGCGCATGCCATTGAGAATATTGGTTTTTTTTTTAGTTTTTTACTTTAGAGGCTAAAGGGATTTTGTCTAGGTCGGATGATGTCAACACCCTTCCCTTTGTTTGATATGGCTCTTCCTATCAGCTCTGATGACGCCTTTTATTTTGCTCTTGGTAGATCCCCACGATTTTACCATAAAGGAAAGAGGATATGCGTCAGCATCATCTGCCCAGTAAATTTTCGCATCAGCAGATCACTCATCCTTTGGTGAGATCCACCCACAAATTTCTTAGTAGCATATCATTTCACAGGACATGAAAGTTAACTCAACATTGTTATTCCAAGAAACCCACTGAAATTCAGCTTCCTCTCTTATATTCATAATTTTGCCCTGCTGGTGTATTTCCTTATCAGATTTCAGAGGGTACAAGTTTATTTATGTACTTTTATTAGATCACTTTATGGTGTTGGGTTATAAGACATTTGTCTGGCCTCGTTTTCGCAACTAAGTCGTGTTATCAGGATAACCTCAAAGGAGGTACTTTGTCCGGCGCCCTCATGCTAATTTTCAGCCTTGGACCGTGGACTTGATAGATTCCCTACCTTTTACCTGCTTCGTGAATCGACTTATTTGTCTTCTTTCTTGATATTCCAAAAAACAATGTTCACTCGCACTGTCAGTGGAATGTCCGAGAGTGTACCAAGTCGAATAACTGATGATAGAAATTATCACTACCAGTATTAAAAGGAGCGGAACAAGGTATATTCTTCGAGGTCGATCTAACTACCGATGTTCTCTTGGAAGGGTCCTTGAAGCCTTGGTAAATTTATATTTTCCAACAACCAAACTGAAAACGTATTTCTTGAAAGTGAATCGAACAGTCCTGTGCCAATTTATTGACTATCATATTTAAGGGCCCAGCCATATTTTCCTTCCCTTCAGTGACCTTGCTTTCTAACTTCCTCGTTCTGCGTCCTAACATTTATTTTGATTTCCTGTTATTCTGGTATCTCCATATTATGCCATCGACTCTACAACAAACTATACTTATCAAGGCTAAGCATATAGACAGAAAACGAATGGCTGCCTATTACTCATTAAGATTCAGGAAATGAGCTAATACTGACAATTTCAAATCTAAAGTAAAAAGAAGAGAATGAAAGACTGTTAGTTGAATTTTCGCACCAGGAAATGAATAGGCCTCATTTTTTCATTGAATTTCGCATAGCCTTGTCTCCCAAAAGGCCATCTACTCTAGAATGGATGGCAATTTCGACTTCGCCAAGGCCAATCACAGCGCAACTCGAGATCGGGTAATGCGGCTTACAGTCACCTCAAACAAAATTGAGTGATTACAGCCCTTATACCAGATCCACTGATCGTCTCGAAAACCTACTTGTGAAACGAAAAATAAGTATGTTGTCAATTTCCATTGCAGCTACAACATTGCTTCGTCGATCATATCGCCACAGAACTGTGCTATCTGAAAGGTCATGGCTTCTGTGACCTGTGACCCAAGGGCACTCGTAACAGTCTAGTATAGAGATTAACGTGTCGAGACTAAGCGCCGCACTATCTGAGTCCGATTCCTGCTGTGGTTACGAGGTCGAAACTGCAGTCAGCCCTGGATGATCATACCTTTTGGGAGGCAAGGCTATGTGCATCCAAATGGAAAAATGAGGCCTACTCATATCATTGTTGGAAAATTCAACAGTAACTCCCTCATTACCCCGGTTCCTATATCAAATCTACTGGTAATCTCTAGATTTATATGCATGCCATAATCTTGTTGGCACCGGCATTACTTCAGAAATTAAGACTTTCATTTACTTTGTAATTACTATATCATAATGAGATGCATTT